CTTTGAAGAATAGTCTTTGCATGATCTCTACAGCCCAGCTTTTACCTTCCTCAGAGGGCTCCCTCCCACAGTATGTCACACCAGTCTGGCACAGTTCCTGTGCAGGTGACATCCACTGTCACCAACCACAGGACCACTTTTCCTTTACCCACTGCCAGTGAGAGCGAGCATGGATCATTACATTTTTTCCCACATAAGATATGGAACAGAAATCCCTGTTATAAATCCTGCCAATTCTTTCTGAATTTGTACATACAAGCAAAGACACCTTGCACAGAATCTACCTTCTTGGAACCCTGGTGATCAGTGGCACAAAGTCTAGCGGTGGAGCCTGGAGGACAATGCTGAGCCCAGTCCTTTCTGACACCTTTGTTAGTAAACTGGGTGATGGGGCCAGGGTGTGCCCCCCCACAAACTGGGAGCAGTGGCTGAGCTGCCAGAGAGAAGTGCTGCCATCCAGAGGGACAGTTCAACAAGGGTGACAGTTCAATGGCAAGTGCTGAGCCGTGTCCTTGGGAAGGAACAGGCACAGGCACTGGTATCTGCTGGGGGCCACCCAGTTGAAAAACTGAAGTTTGGCAGGGTCCTGCTGGACACCAGGATGCCCACGGGCCAGCAATGCGCTCCTGCAGCAATGCAGAACAGCGTCCTGGGCTGCACTGGCAGCTGTGACACAGCTGGTGGAGGGAGGGGATCCTTTCCCTCTGCTCCACACCAGTGAGGCCAGCCCTGGAGTGCTGGGCCCAGAGCTGGGCTGCCCAGTACAGGAGACAGGGACAGACTGGACAGAGTCCAGCTCAGGGCCATGAAGATGATGGAGGGACTGGAGCATCTCTGCCGTGAGGAGAGGCTGAGAGAGCTGGCACTGCCCAGCCTGGAGCAGAGCAGGCTCAGGGCATCTCATCCCTGGGGATAAACACCCGGGGGGAGGCTGCAGAGGGGACAGAGCCAGGGACAGCCCCACGGGCCTCGGACACCAGGTGACACACAGGAGGGGCCCTCCGAGCTCAGGAGACACTTCTGCACTGGGAGGGTGGCTGAGCACTGGTGCAGGTGCCCAGGGAGGTGGTGGAGTCTCCATCCCTGGAGAGACTCAAAAGCCACCTGGACGCGTCCTGGGCAGCCGGCTCTGGGTGGCCCTGATGGAGCAGGGGCTGGGCAAGGTGACCTGCAGAGGTGCCTCCAGCCTCCCCCAGCCCCAGATTCTGGGACTCTGTGTGGTAGGTAAGGGACAGGCGAGCGGAGGATCACGGGATGTGACGGAAAGATAGACCCCTCCCCCTCTCTCTTCCCCACTTACCTATTAACCCCAGAAACCTCAGAAGAATGTAGCCACACCTGCCCTGGTAAATTTCCACTACCCGACTAACCCCTGAGACCCCCAACCCCCTCTGACGTAGCAAAAACCCCTAAAACTATTTAAACCCACGAGATAGGATAATAAACGCTTTTCAACCATCTGCCATATTGGTGTTTGCGTGTGTTGACTAGCCCGAGCAGACTGGAGGGACCAGGCTGCCGTTCTGTTCCCTGAACCAGGTCTCTGGTTGTCCTTTATAAAGGCAACATACTGGTGCCGAAAACCCGGGAAAAAAGAAGAAAAAAAGGAAAAATTCCCCCGGCGGACGGGATACACCTGGACAGGAGCAGCGGCCGGAACGGTCAGACCGTATCTAGGCGGAGGGGAGACGTCCCCGGGGCCCGCGAGCGTCATGGGCAGCGTCGCATGGGTCGTGAGTATGAAGCAATGGAGTATCGCGTTTAAGCTCAGGGACTTTTATCTTGCTATAGCAAGGCTGCCTGAGTTTGGAGCAACCGAATGCTCAGTGGATGCCATGCATCCGGGAATATGGGAACAGTGTACAGCCACGCTAGCCGGGGAGGCGAAATCCTCAGGCAGTGGCGAGAGCGTTACGGCACGGGGCAAGGTAGAAAAAACCCCACGCAAGGCAATAGAAAAACAGGAGATGCAGAATACAGCGCGTACGTGTTTATTAGTTAGAGCCGAGCTCGGGACGGGGGCGAAAGCGCAGACCGTCCCTGAGGAGGGTCCACCCGGGAGCGGAGACCCGGGGGGGCTCAGCGTGACAACCCCTTCCCCGGATCAGAGCCCAGCCCGGCCCCGCCGCGGAACGGAGCCCAGCCCGGCACAGAGGACGGCTGCCGCCGGAGCCCGGAGCGGCGCGTTCCGAGCGGCGCGGCCTTGCTCCCGCCGGGACCCGGACGCGCCCGCGGCCCCGCGCCGCTTCCCCGCCGGCGCGCCGAGCGGAGTGGCGCCAAACCCCGCCGCGGCAGCCCCCCGAGACACCCCTGCCGCGGAAAACCCCCGGGAAACCCCCGCCGCAAAAAAACCCTGAAAAGCCGCGGCTTCCCAATCCGTCCCGCCGCCGCCGCCGATCAGGGATCCGCTGTCAGAGGCGCAGCTGCGCGCGGAGCGCTTCTGGCAGGAGCTGGCAGGAGAAGCCAAAATCGCGGAAGCCGCAGCTCGGGAAAAATCCCCGGCAGCGTGGCCATGCTGCCGCTTTGAAAATGGCGCCGGGTGCCGCGGAGGGGGGCGGAGCACTAGTAGTCTCGGCGCGAAAACTCGGACAGCGCGCGATCTCGGGAATGCGCGCGCGCGGGAGAAAGGGGCGGAGAGCGGCAGAGAGCGCGGAGCCAATCAGCGGCCGCACCGGGCGCCGCCACCATATAAGGGAGAAACCACCCCCCGCGGGAGGCGCGGCGAGCCGGGGGGGCGGGAGCGGCGCCACCCCCGCGGGGAGAAGCAAGCTCGGGGCCGAACAAAACGGCACGGAGCCCCGGAAGTGCTCTGGCATTTGACTTCCGGCGCGGAGCCTGGCGACCGGTCTGCCGGCTCCTCCGAGCCGGCAGAGGCCGGCCGGGACCCTGAAACGGAGAGAACAAAGCCATCGCGATTCAAAACAGAACCGAATAGAGTTCTAAGCCGCACCGAAAAACAGTCACAATACCCCTTGGAGCTGCGGGAAAAAAGAGCATCTCGCCAAGGAATGCGGGTCCCAGCCCCCGAAAAACACGGAACGGGGGGGGGGGGGGGGGGGGGCGGGGAGCGCGCGGGCGAACCCAGCCTCCTCCCACCGCAAATAGCAGCGCCTCTACCCTGGGCCAGCAGGGAATGCCCCGATACGGGACCCCTGGGTAGCCCTAGCCATGAAAGTGGGGAGAAAGCCCCCGGGGATGTGTGGAAGACGTGCCGCCTCTGTGGCAGTCAGGACCCCCACGTGGTGAGACTATGAGAGCCACTGCTGCACACCCACTGCTGCCAGCCAAACCTGACCCTCAAAACAAAACTAATGAGAAACTGTGAGTCTTGTTTACAGGACACGCTGGTAAACCATCCCCATGACACATACACCCCTGCTCCAGAAGGAGATGACAGACCACCAAACTGCCAGACAACACCTGAGAATCCCACGGTGGTGAGATCCAAACATGCACAGTGTCTTTCTTCATGCAATTTTGCTGTTTAGAGGCTTGTGGCCAGGGGAACAAGCTGGCCCAGGCCACTACCCTCATCAGCTATTTAGGTGGGTCGTGCAGCATCTATCAAGTAACAAAGTGCTCAAAAAAGTCACCATAATAAATACCCCATCCTTCGTGTTCCACATAGCCAGCCTGTTTAGAAGCTACCTTACTAACCCTAAATGAAACCAAATCAAACCTAACTAACCCCTATTAATTTTGCTATGATGTTAAACCCCCTTTTCTACGAAAGCATTGCTTTAAATACCCCCTTCAGTTACTCCACAGCCAGTGTCCCCCACCAGTGCAAGTGGGACACTCCCCACAGAAGACCAATAAGTAAGTAGTCCCATCCACATTTGAGATGTAAGTTTGCCAGAAACCCAGAGTGAATCCTTATATGTTCCTTGCCAAGTTTAATAACTCTATCGATTTCTGTATTCAAGTTCTGATTGTTTCTAAGGTCCTACATCACTCAGACGAAGAGACATACCACCTTCTCGAGGAACCTGACAGACTCCACAAAAAGGAAATTAACCATCACAATGCTGCTTAGCCTAAGAGCAGCTAGCACAGCCACAGGTGTCTCAGCCATCGCAACCCAACAGCACGGACTCTCTCAGCTGCAAATGACCATCGACGAGGACCTGCAGAGGATCGAGAAATCCACCTCCTACCTAGAGAAATCAGTCTCTTCGCTTTCAGAAGTAGTTTTAAAAAATCTACCCAGATCTACTAAACCACCCTTTCCTTAACAAGTTGCAAGTTTGTACCTCACTCCAGTGCCTATACCTACGACTACCTCATTTTGTATGTGATAAGGAGGGGGGAGATGTGGTAGGTAAGGGACAGGCGAAGCGGAAGACCACGGGATGTGACGGAAAGATAGACCCCTCCCCCTCTCTCTTCCCCACTTACCTATTAACCCCAGAAACCTCAGAAGAATGTAGCCACACCTGCTCTGGTAAATTTCCATTACCCGACTAACCCCTGAGACCCCCAACCCCCCTCTGACGTAGCAAAAACCCCTAAAACTATTTAAACCCACAAGACAGGATAATAAACGCTTTTCAACCGTCTGCCATATTGGTGTTTGCGTGTGTTGACTAGCCCGAGCAGCCTGGAGGGACCAGGCTGCCATGCTGTTCCCTGAACCAGGTCTCTGGTTGTCCTTTATAAAGGCAACAACTCTGGGAATAAACAGTTTCCTAAGGACAAATGAAAAAGCTCCATGCATGGCAGGTTTCTCCTGCTCTCACCAAAGTGGTTCATGTCACATGTCTCCTTTCTGCAGATTCCTCCCTGGAGTGAGGATGCCTCTCAAGGTCATGCCTTGAGGCTGAGAGAAATGTTTGCCCGTGGTCATTGGTTTGGGTGAGTAGCATCAATCTTTGAGAATTGGTTTTGCTGGCTTGACTAGAATTGCTGCAATGTTGCTTCAAAAGATAATGCACTATACTGGAAGTTATAGTTCCCTGTACTGAGTAGTAAATAACCCAGAGAAAGATCTATTAGTTTAATCATAATCATAATAAACTCTTTATTTTTCTATAAATATATCTTACATCCTATGGAACAGAGTTGTGTAAAGGTTCAACTGCATCTATGCTATTGTTTAAAGATAAACTACTGACTAAATCTAAGCCTGCATCCAGCTGCAGCCTGCCTCCTCTGAGACATTCAGGAAGCAAGGAGGTCCTTTCTGCACCTCATGTCTCCTGCCTGCTGCCTGCACAGCTCTCCAGGTGGTCCTGTCGGTCTTGGGCCAGCTGTGCCTGCAGAGGGACACCTGAAAGAGGCACAAGGCCCGGCTCAGACAAGCCCAGGCTGGCAGGAGCACCTGCAGCCCCACGGTACCCGCTCCCGGGGCAGACACAGCCTCCAGCTCCAGCCCTCACCAACACTGGGCCCTGGGGCAAGGGGAAAGGAACAGGCTCCCAGACAGAACAGAGCTCAGATGATCAACAAGTCCAGTTCAAGGCCGGTAAAGCCTTCCCACGTACATCCCTCAGCCACCACAGGTCAGTTAGAGAGAGTTCTGAGGGGATTTAGGAACCCAACTCTGATTTCCAAAGCACACATTTGGGCCACTGACCCCTTTCTCCACAGGCTGTGCATCAGCAGGAGGGCTGCTGCTCCCCTGAGCTGCTGGAGGACTCTTCCATTTTAAAAGCTGACCGATTTTTATGGGCAGACTTGTGGACAGGAAATGTAATGTAGTCTGGGAGGAACACTCTCCTAAATGTTCTGATTCTTCTCCTTTCAGGTTCCACCTGCACATTGGATGGGAGAGAGGGTCACAGAAACCTGTCAGCAAACATGGGGCAAAAGGACCTCTGGGCATCATGGCAAGGAGATCTCTGCTCTGAGACCCCAAATTGCACTGGACAACACTGGGGGCAAAAAGCTCTCGCTGGGGGCTGTGCAAGAGAGGCCAGTGTGTGTGCAGGGACACAGGGCCATGGAGGGAGGCAGTGGAGTGAAGGTGCCCTTGTGAAAGCCATGGGCTGCCCCAAGAGAGGGAACAAACAAAAGGGTGTGCCCACAGCAGGGACAGGGCGAGGTAAGGAAACAAGCAGAGATCTCCAAAGCAATGCCTGGGCTAACGTGCCAAGTTCCAGAGGAGCCTGAGGCTCTGCAGAGGCAGCAATAGCCCATTTTACCTGTTTGCCATTTCTTCTGGGCTCGGTGGATAATTCGGGACTCTCTTTCTTCTCCTCCTCTGCTGATGCAGCCAGCTGCTTAGGTTCCAGGCTGGTCCCTGAGCCACGGAACAGCTGTTCCACTTCTGCTTCCGCATCCTGCTAGGTATGCAGAGAGGAGATGATGCCCATACTTCAAACACCACAGAAGCTGTCCCTCAGAAATCTCCATCTCGGGAAGCGTCCTCAAAGCACCAGCAGGGCAGCTGCTCTTCAGCCCTCTCAGCACAAAACTCAGCTGGGTTTAGTCCATCACTCTGCTCACCTGCTCCATTCTTTTGCACCCAGAATCCAGACCCCTACGTGTTTCCTCCCCTTAGTCCATCACTCTGCTCAACTGCACCATTTCGTCCCACACCAAATGCAAACCCCAATGTGTTTCCTCCCCTTGTGTGGGCACAGGAGAAGCAGCTCCCCAGCCCAGATTTTGGCCTGGAGCTGATTTGAACAGCAAGCTCCTGCACAGGCAGCCCAGGGTCAGGGAGAAAACTCTCCCTCTCCCAAACTTCAGAGCATTCCAGTCAGGAGCAGAGTACAATGTGGGTAACAAAGCCCAAGGTTGAAGGGGCCTTCCAGCAATGCTGAGGCCTTGAAACTCCAACTCTTCTTTCCCGATACCAGGAGCTTGTGTTCCAGAGGAAACTGAGGCTCTGCAGAGGCAGGAAAAGCCCAGTTTACCTGCTCACCACTTCTTCTGGGCTCGGTGGATACTTCAGGACTCTCTCTCTTCTCCTTTGCTAATGATGCAGGTGGTTGCTTGGGTTCCAGGCTGGTCCCTGAGCCACCTATCAGTCGTTCCACTTCTGCTTCCGCATCCTGCTGGGTATGCAGAGAGGAGATGATGCCCATACTTCAAACACCACAGAAGCTGTCCCTCAGAAATCTCCATCTCGGGAAGCATCCTCAAAGCACCAGCAGCGCAGCTGCTCTTCAGCCCTCTCAGCACAAAACTCAGCTGGGTTTAGTCCATCACTCTGCTCAACTGCACCATTTCGTCCCACACCAAATCCAAACCCCAATGTGTTTCCTCCCCTTGTGTGGGCACAGGAGAAGCAGCTCCCCATGCCCAGCTTATGGCCTGGAGCTGATTTGAACAGCAAGCTCCAGAGCTGGATCAGTCATTCTGGGCGAGCCAGGAAACAATCTGGCAGTCAGTGGTCTCTGGCTGGAGCCAGGCAGACAGACAAGGCTGCCTGCTGCAGCCCGGGCTGCTTTACCCACGCAGCCCTGGACTGACAGGGATAGAGACCCACCTCTTCATGGGAAGAAGCACTGGAATAGCTCAGGGACTCTGGAGTGGACTGAAGATCAATGCCAGTGCCTCCCTGGATACCAGACTCTCCCTTCAGGAAGACCAAGCCTTTCTGCAGACACACTTTGGCAATTTTACACTTGCTCAGTGCAGCACTCAGGTCACTCCCTCTTCCTTTCCTCAAAGCAGCAGTCCCATGCTCCAACTTTTCCTGCTTTATTTCCTCTTCAACGTCCAATTGTTGAGTTCTTTCCTGGTGATTTGGACTCTCAAGTGCACACATTTCATTCTTCCTTTTCACATCTCTCATTTGCTGCTGGTTCAATTCCCGTTCATGCTGCCAAAACAGGGAGAAAAAGGGTCACTCACTCCCTCTCTCGGTTTGCTTTTCAGACCAGATCTGGACCCCTGCTGCAGGGGCAGGCACAGGCTGCCCCTCTCTCTCTGCCCCTCGGCATGCTGCAGACCTTTGCTGCTTCCCCCCTTGATGCTGCTCTTGCCCAGCTCGCTCAGCCTGTCCCAGCTTCCTTTCCGCCCTTCCCCGACCTCTTGCAGCTCCACTCCAGCGCTCCTTTGGGCAGGAGCTGCCAGAACTGCAGCCACGATTTCAAGTCCATGCTAAGCAGGATTTAGGCAGTGCCACGAGGACATGCTCTCCATCAGGGAGGAAGGCAAGAGCAAACACCCCCAGCATTTCCTTCCCTGGGGCTGGGCTGCCAGGAGTGCTGTTCCACCTCTCCTGTGTAGAGTTTCCATGGCCCCAAATCCAAGAACCCCACTGCCCTCTCTTGGAGCAGCAATGGCCAGATCAGTCTGTCATTCTCTGCTGCCACTCAGGACGAGTTCTCCCCTTGCAGGCACACGTCCTGGTGTGGATCAGCACTCGGCTTTCCTCTCTTCTCTCCCCACTGGCTGCTCTCAGATGGCCAAGGCCAAACACCTTTCTATTAACAGCAGTCTTGGTCTTCTCACCTTCCCTTTCAGATATTTAGAAATATGAACATGGGTTTGGACACAAGGAATTCCCCAAACCATGCAATGGCCATAGAGAGAGTGTGGAGATTGAGAACTAAAGCTTCTAGGGCACAGAAGCCCAGCATGGAGGAAAATCAGCAGCTTCAGCATTAACTGCCTTTGGCATGACTACAACATCTCCTCCTTATTCAGAAGAATGCAGTTAGAAAAGTTTAACTGAAAAAGTCTGCTCCTTAGAACTATCACCACAAGGTCCAAACATAGCTAGGAATTGGCCCTCTGTGGCATCTGCCAATCTCACCAGCACATCCTTCCTTTCCTTCTCCAGGTTCTCCAATTTCCTCTTCAGAGATGCCACCTCCTGACGAAGAGTCACAGCCTCTTCCTGTCTTTCAGTGGCCTCTTTCTCCAGGGCACTTTCTCGAGAAATGCGCTTGAGTTGTGTCTTCCACCAATCTGCAGCAGGGAAGGGAAGGAGAAGGAGAAGGGGACAAGCAAAGCAAAGACACACTGATGTGCATCCTGCAGAGACAACAGCACTGTCTTCTCTGCCTGCCGGTGTTTGCCAGGCCCTGAGCACACAAGGGCTCCAAAGCTGACAGAAATGAAGGAAATTTCCAGGCAGTGTAAAAAGCAGGAATGAAAGGGGCAAGGTTCAGAGGGCTAGGAAAGAGTGTTTGCTCTTGGTCTTGTGCAGAGGGAGCAATCCAAGAGGGACAAAGGAGAGGGGATGCCTGTGCAGCCCTGCTCAGAGAGGCCAATGGCCTGGAGGCTCTGGCAGGGCCTGGAATTTGGGGGAATCAAGCTGAGGCATCCAGCTGCAGCTCCTTAACAGGGACACGGCAACTGAAAGGCTCCAGCCCAGGATCAGCCCTAGCACAGCCAGATGGCTCTGCAAGCCACAGCATCTTTCTCAAGAAAAAAGCTTTCACTGGCACTTGGAGGGATAAATTTCCTGCTGGCTGTTTTTCCCCTTTGCCATCTCTGGGCACTTTTCCTCTGCGAGGCATCAGCAAGATCCTTGCAGGTGGGACAGGGTGGGGCAGTGGCTGGGGGAGGAGAAGCTGTACCTTGCTCAATGTGCTCCAGCTGTTTCAGCAGCTCCTGATTGTAGGCTCTGAGATTGTCCCTCTGAGCCTGTGTCTTCCTCAGCCCCAGCTCCATGGCCTTACACTGTGTGGCCATGGCCTCTGCTCTTTCCTCAGAGCTCTGGAGCCTCACACGCAGCTCAGACACCTCAGTTTCCAGCAGCTGCTTCTCTTCAGTTGCCTGGCGAGCTGTCTTCTCTATCTCTGCCAGCAGCATGGCCTGCATCTGGAAGAAGGATGCACAGAGCCTCAGGGACAGGGCTGCTCCTGAGGCCGCAGAGTGCACAGTAGGGAGAGGAACAAAGGAGAAATTATTTCGGGCAAAAACCATGCCAAAACCAGAAGGCACAGAAGCAAGGGTTCCAATGGAGACAAATGTAGAGAAAAGAGGGAAAGGGAGGCAATGGGCATCCTTGAGGCTGCAGCTCTGAACAGCAGCTGAGATGGCTGCGCTGGAAGTGCCCTGCCCAGCCTGCCACAGCCACCTCTGTGTCCCCACATTGCTCAGTGCTGGCACAGGCACCAACTCTGTCTGGGACAACACTGCTAACAGAGGGACGGAGAAGCTCCAGAGGAGGCTGCTGCTGCTTCCTCTCCCAGATTTCCTGCTGGGAGCCGGGAGAGAACGGTGCAAAACTTCGGCAGCAGACACCAGATCCAGCCTGGGCCTCAGGGTGCCGCAGCAGCCCCGGGCAGAACACGGCAGCTGTGGATGCTGCCGGGAGGGGAAAGAGGTTGGGGCCTCCAAGCCAAAGGTGCTGCTGTGTGTCCCTGGAGAAGAGGATGCCACTGCACAGCTTACCTGGGTGTTGAGCTCCTGCATTTGTCTCCTATGCTCAGAACAGAGCTGCTCTGCCTGCTTAAGAGCAGAAAATAAGCGAGACACACGATTTTTCAGCACCAGGTTCTGTTCTTCCAGTTTTCGGAAGCACTGGTTCTTCTCCTCCAGAGACACAAGCAGCCTAGAAGGGAAGCAAGCAACTCATTACTATATGATATCACATTCTATAAGCTCTTAGGACTTGCAGCACCTCAGGGAAAAACTCCTCTGTCTGATGAGGTTTGTCTAAACAACTTGGCTGTTTGTTCCCCCTGCAGTCACAGCCCAACATGTGCCGACTCTGCTTTTGCTCCTGAAAGAACAGGGAGTCCTGCCTACATGCCCTACCTTCTTTTTGAGATGGGAATGTGAATACAAAGCTAATGAAGTCTTGCAATGAAGACTTTAGAGGAGAGGAACAATTTTCTTCTGACTAACCAGGCTCCAAGGCAGGGAGGTTTGGTCAACATGGAAGAGACATTTCCTTCCCCAGTCTTCTACGTCCCGGTAGGAGGAGCAGCAGCCTACAGCCAGGGGATCTCTGGCGAGTTCCCTAAGGTTTACCAGCACCCATCCTACTTTCAGCTGGAGAAACAGAGGCCCAAGTGGCAGCCAAGGCTTGGAGCAAAACCTGATGGCAGATGCAGAAGGCTCCAGGCAAGCAGGAGTGCCCTGCCTCTCCTTTGTCTTTGGTTTGGAAGAAGAATCCTGTGGCACTGAAGACTGGCAGGACTCGATCAGCTGGAGGAGCCCCCCATCCCCTGGTCCTGTTTCTGCATTCTTTGCACAGTCAGTAATGCCTGTGACTGTGCAGGGTGGCAGGGAGCCTGCTTGACCCCCTCCAGGCCCCAGGACACATTTTATGAGGAACGATGCCACAGAGCCATTCTTGTTTCTGGGCTGCCTCTGAGGGCAATCTGGCCTAGATCAGCAAGCAGGGCCTTAAGATGGTTCTGCCCAGAAAGAGCATCAGAAGCCAGGCTGATCCACATCCCAAAGGCTTCAAGGTACAAGACCCAAGGTGGGGCTGATGGATGGATCCAGCTCCTTACAATGCAGCTCGGGCAGCTTCAACACACCCACCTAACAACACAATACCCCCTAGAGGCAAAGGACTACCCCAAAAGACTTTGACTGCAGAAAAACTCTAGCTGAAGGCTTAAAAGGAAAGAAAATGAAAGACAACATCCTGTCATGGTTTGACACGGGAAGAGAATTTTTTTTTTGGAAGGAAGAGGTCACAGTCAGGGGTCAGGTTTGGATACTGACACTTGGGGTGACCAATTGAAGGTGGACACGCCTCTGAGAACACAGAGGGGTTAAAGGCGGAATTCCCAGGAGGACTCACTCTCCTTTGGTTCCGGTCATCGCAAGGTACGGACCTCTCCCCAGCCCAGGCTGGCTGGGGGAGGGGAGCCATGCGGCCTGCAGAGGTAGGCCAGGGGGTGAAGGATCGGAACCGAGCTGGGCCAGCTCCTGCGGACGGAAGGGTGGAGAACATCTGGGATGTCTTTGTTCCCCCTCCCCTAAGCTAGAGGGAAAAGAGATAGAGAGCCAGCAGACACCTGGGAGTTTGCCGACAGAGGAGAAGGAGAAGGGGGGGAAGATGCCCAGCGTGGGAGACAGGAGAAGGAGTCCTGGGCTGAGATTTCAGCCATCCGGGGAGTCCGGGAATTTTAACCCTTTCCTGGGAAATGAAGGCTTTATGAAATATTACTCCTCCTCAATTTGAAGGAAAGAGAGACAGCCTGGGACCTCAGATGTTCAGAGAAGAAGGTTGGGGGGAGATGATGGAGTGCCTTTTGGCTGGACTCTGCTTGTTTACCATAGACTGAACCACTCCTTCTTTCAAGAGGGACTGCATTTTAGGGGGATGCACTGGTGAGCCAAGAGACCTTCTTCAGCAACTACCAGTTCTGGAATGGACAGAGAGAGCTGAGGAGGGTGTGAGGATGCCCTCCGTCTTCAGAGAAGAAGAGAAGGCGATCTCTGTCCTTGGACCCTCGGCCCCAGGGGAAAATGGGGGGGACTCTAGTCCCGAAATGCGATACTGGACTGTTGTTCCTGGTGGTCCTTGGCAAAGCATCCTTAAAGGGGCCCTATAAGCAGTCTCTGTCCATGCACGGTGGTGAGAGCACTGTGACATGGAGAGGAGAGTGTCGCACTGGCCGGTGGGTCTGGGCAGTGCCACGTGTGACATGGAAACACAAGAGGTGGCAGCTGTGTTTCCTGGGGGTCTGTGGTGCAAGGGGGACTCCTCTCTTCCCCGATGGATTCAGTATTGATTATATTGAAGGGTGAAAACTGGATTAAGGATCTAAATGGGTCTCGCTGTGGTTTGTTGGAGTTGGGTGGTGGGAGGAGGAGTGTTTTGGAAGGTTTTCATTTTGAAGTTTGTGTGGTTTTTTTTCTTTTTCTTCCCCTTTATATTATTAGCAGTAGTGTAATAAAGTCTTTCCTTTGTTATTAAGTTTGGCCTGCTTTGCTCTGCTCTCGATCGCATTTCACAGCATTTGATTGGTAGGTTGCATTTTCATGGGGCGTCAAACCATGACACATCCAGACCATGAGAAGTGTCTGCACCCAGAGTTCAGAATCTGCCACTTAAGAAATGCTGCCAGAGGCCCTGGCAGGTGCAAGGATGGCAAAGAGGGAATCCATTCACCACAATGCAGAGTCCCACAGGCTTTCATTTACCTGGCTTTTTCCTTCTCTAGAGTATGCACAGAAGCCTGCAATTCTGAATTGTGCTGAGCCACTTCTTCCCATCCACTCCATTTCCTCTCCAAGTTCTGCAGATGCACTTGCAGCTCCTTGTTCTGTTGTTTTGCCTCCTCCAGCTTCTTCTGGGTGTGCTCAACCTCCAACTGCTTCTGCCTGGACTCTTCCTGGGCCTCCCTCACATCTTGCTGGGCTCTCTGGACAGTCATTTCCTGGGACTCTCGGGAGGCTGCCAGCTGAGATGTCAACTCTCCCACCTCCAGTCAAACAGAACAAAGCAGTCAGAGGCTACAGCCACAGCTTGTCACTGTCAGCCACAGCACAGGCTGTGAGGAAAGGCAAAGGACAACTTTCCATTTCTCCCTGTCCTGAGAGCACCAGATTCACACTGGATATGGACAACTTGTTGCAGTCTCCAAGTGGCCCACCACCAAGGGCACCTGAAAAAGCACCTCCCACACCAAGGCTAGCAAGGAGAGGCCAGCAGGAATCCTTGCTGATGCTTGCTGGCCAACAGCCCAGAGGACTAGCCCAGCTGTCCAGAGCAGCAGCTGAGATTCAGCAGAGCTTTGGGCGTCCTGAAGAGCAGCTGCCACGGAGCCCCCAGAGCCTGAGACAGCCCCAGGGATCACCCCATCAGCTGCTGCTCTGCCATGGAAAAGCAAGAAGGCCACAGACCCCTCCCTGCACGGCTGCAGTGCCACTGCTGTTTCACTCACCTGCTTTTGTAAAGCCTCCCTCTGCTCAAGGAGGAGATTCATTTCCTCTTTGAGGCCTTGTAGCTCTTCCTCGTGCCTCCTCTGCGCTGTCTGGACTTCACTGCGAGCTGCCTGCAGCTCAGCTTGCAGCTCTGCCTTCAGATGTTCCCTGCTCACCTCCAGCTGAGATATCTGCTGCTGAGCAGCACACAGCCTGGATTCCAGGCTCTCCTTTGCTGACCTACAAGTTGCACACACAGAGAGACATGAGTTGCTTGCCCCAGACTCCCACAGCCGGTTATTCCAGGACAATGAGGCTCAAGATCCTCACACCTGAGTATGGGAAATGAGTGACGTGGAAACTCGCCCAGACAAGGCACATTTGTGCCATGTCAACAGCAGAGCCGGGCCCTCAGAGTGACTGCCCAGGCCTTCCCTATGGCCTGGCATAGCACAGACAGCCCAGCCCAACTTGGCCTCAACAGCCAAATCTACATCTGAAAAGCACAGAGAATACTAGAAACCCCTGTGTAGTGTTTACCACCTTTATCATTACAGCTCTTCAGCCCTGTCCTGCCTAGGGTTTGCTCCCTGCCTTTACCTGGTCTCTGCCAGCTGCTTGGAAAGGTCATGTTGGTGGCGCTCTGTGGCTGCCAGTCGGCCCTCAAGGGCAGCCTTCTCACGGCCCAGCAGCTCCTTCTCTCTGCACACCTGAGCCATTTCATGCTCTTGGCCAGAGGATTCCTGGCGCAGCTGCTCCAGAGCCCTGCCCAATGACTCTTGCTCCTGGGAAACCTGCAAGTGGGACAAGGTACAGCTCGAGCCCTTCCTCAGGAGCCCTGTGCAGAGCCAGCCAGTGGCACCTCGCAGGCAGCCAGAGGACAAGGAGCACCTGTGCTCTGGGCTCAAAGTTTCACAGCACCTGTCCTGGGCAGCTCTGATAGCCTGGGCTGCCAAAAGCCTCTGGCACTGTTACCTTGCAAGTGCTGTGTCAGGCCCTGCTGCCCTGCCTGGGACCAGACAGCTCCTTCCCAACAAGCATCCCTCCTCCAAACTCCCTGTTGTCACCCAAAAGCACTGCATCTTCTACAATTGCCACTTGGCAAACAGAATTTCTCTCTGGACCTATTTCTTTGATGGACAATTTCAGGAAGGTTTGACAAAGCAAATTTAATTGCTGAATCAAGCCCCTTTAATTGCTGAGCCCCTCCAGCTCCCTCAGCCACTCCTGGTCACTCCTGTGCTCCAGACCCTTCCCCTTCTCTGTTCCCCATTTTTGAGGCTCTGTGGCTGCCCAAAGCAACACATTTTGCAGAAGCATGCAACGCTGTGCTGATGAACATGCATATTCCTGGCTAATCAATGCATGTGCCATCTTGAGCCAGGTGTTCACAGCAGTGTGCCTGTCTTCTACTGCCAGAAACAGCATCTGGGTTGATCTGGCTGCCACAACTCCCACTCCCACAGGTGCTGCCTAGCAATAAGGTGTTCAGAGCCATGCTAACATCATCCCACTCTTGCTCCAGCTGATCCCTCTGAAGCTGCCATTCCTCCAATGTCTGCCTCTTGACTTCCAGCTCGCTCTACAACAGTGGGTCTTCTCCCTCGAGTATAGCCAAGCCCTTCACTGTACAAGAAGGGGCAAGACGGGTTTTCAAGGGAAAACCAGTCTCATTTCCCAAACCAACCTCCATTCTGTCCTGCTGCTCTGTCTGTTCTGCCTGGGCTGACGCTTCCTTCCTCTGCTTGGTGTTCTCCAGATGGACACCCAAGGCTCCTGGCTCCGGGATTCCAGTGCACTGCAGCAGCATTTCCCTGGACATCTCAAAGTTTGCACGGTCACTGCAGAGACAAGGCTCAGTCAGAAGAATCAAGAGGCCTGAAGAGTCAGCAATGCCATTTTCAGCACTCCAGGATGGAGCTGGGGGTAGTGGGCTAAGGAAGACCTTGCTCCTTCCCTCCCAAGAAAATCCTCCAGAGGCAATGGGAAAGGCAGGATTTTGCCTTCCCTCAGTGAGAAGCAGTGGCTGGGCAGGGGTGCACAAAGAACAGAACTCGAGGAAGCAGCAGGGCAAGAAGAAGGAGTCTTCTATTCCAACATGGCTGTGCAACTCCCAGACAGCCTTGGGACTCACAGTAGAGCATGAAAAAACCAGACAGGATGATGCTCGAGAGCCACACTGAGGCCTACACATGGTAGGCAGGTGACTTCTTCACCCAGGGCACCTCTGAACTCCCAGGCCTGCAAGCAGATTGTTTCTGGAATGCAGGAGGAGGAGGAGGAAACACTCACCGTCTGGTTTCTTCTACCAGAGAGTCTATGTGCTGGACGTGCCTTCTGATCCTCTGGCTTCTCTCCTCCATTTGATCAAAATATTGCTGCATGCGCCCCCAGGTCTCTATAGCTTCCTGAACCAATTCCAAGGGATGCTGTTCACCACTGGATGTCAGAGTTGAGAGGATATTCCCAGGACTGTCGGTGCAGATGATGGAGTTGGCCATGCCGTCACTGTTGTCTACCAGTGCCTGAAAGCCCACATCCAGCTGTTAGTCAGGTATTCTGCTCCTATTCCAAAGCAGCACTGAGATGCTTCTTCTGATCCCACAAGAACCAGCGTCCATTCATGGAGAACCAGTTTCAAAGTGCCAGCCAGCTCAGCAGAGTTTACTCACCTCAGGGGCTCTGGAGGAAGGTCCCTGCTGAGAAAGCCCTCGAGCTCCCTGCAGGAGCACAGGGAAGAGCACACTCAGACTGCATGGCTGCCCCTGAGGCAGTCGCCTCTGAGTGCTTCCCAGACTGTCCCAGAGCACAGCAATTCCAGCTGAGCTCTTCCTCCCCTCCTTGGCAGTATTTTCAGCCCAGTAGTTTGACAGCAGTGCAAAGGAACATGCTGGAAGGTGTCTCATCACTTGTAAGAACACGAGAAGGGGAGTTGCCCAGAGCCCCACCCAGTCTGCCCTTGAACACTCCCAGGGATCCAGGGGCAGCCACAGCTTCTCTGGGCAACCTCAAGACTGGGTGCCAGGGCCTCAGCGCCCTCATAGGGCAGAATTCCCTCCCAGTGTCCCATCCATCCCTGCCCTGTCTTGGTGGGAAGCCTTCTCCTGTCCCTGCAGGGCCCTGGCTTAAAACCCTCTCCAGCTCTCTTGCAGCCCTTTCATGCATTGGAAGGGACTCTAAAGTCGCCCTGGAACCTTCTCCAGCCTGGCTAACCCCAACTCTTGCATCCTTTTCCCTTGGCACATGTGCTCCAGCCCTTGCAGCATCTTCCTCTCATCCTTGTGACCTCCTCTGGGCCCCTGGGGGTCATTTCAGAGATGCCTGGGAGAAACCCATTCTGGACTCTGGGAAGCACTGAGGCTGGGCTGTAATTTGGGTGAGGGGAAGGCAATGAAAAGCTGCTCCCTTGTTTGTGCCCACGGCCTCCAGTGGGACAAGGACAGAGGAGGAGATATGGCTGTGCTCTGGGATGGCCAGGAGCCACCCATTCCCTCCCACACTGTCCCCACAGCGAGCACCAAAGCCTCTGCCAGCTCTGGAACAGCCAGCTGTTAATCCCTTGCTATTCCCAAAGGGAACTGTTCCCCGAGGCACAGCCCAGGCCCTCTCCGGTCCCTGCTGGGCTTGGCACAAGGAGAGCAGCAGCTTTTTTCACTCACCCGCCGGGACTCCATCTTCCCCTTTCACAAGGAGTGAGAAACAGCAGTGACCAAAGGCCCTTGGCCTTAGCAGGGTCTAAACCCCAGTGCCCAAAGGCCCTTGGCCTTAACAGGGTCTAAACCCCAGTGACCAAAGGCCCTTGGCCCTAGCAGGGTCTAAACCCCAGTGCCCAAAGGCCCTTGGCCTTAACAGGGTCTAAACCCCAGTGACCAAAGGCCCTTGGCCTTAGCAGGGTCTAAACCCCAGTGCCGAAAGGCGCTTGGCCCTAGCAGGGTCTAAACCCCAGTGCCCAAAGCCCTTGGCCTTAACAGGGTCTAAACCCCAGTGCCCAAAGCCCTTGGCTCTAGCAGGGTCTAAACCCCAGTGCCCAAAGCCCTTGGCCTAAAAGGGTCTAAACCCCAGTGCCCAAAGGCCCTTGGCCTTTGCAAAGTGTAAACACCAATATCCAAAGGTTCTTGGCCTTTGCAGGGTCAATAGCACAAATCCAAGTGCCCTTGGCCTTTGCAAGGTCCAAGCCCCAAATATCATGAGCTGTTGGCAGCTTCAGGGTCCAAACTCCAATAGCCAGGAGATGTTGACAGCTTCAGGGTCCAAACCCCAATAGCCAGGAGCTGTTGATTGTTGTCAGGGTCCAAACCCCAGCATTCCATGGCCTTTGTGACACTTGTCAGGGTCCAATCCTCAGCATTCCATGTCCTTTGTGATGGTTGTCAGGGTCCGACCCCCAGCATTCCATGGCCTTTGTGACATTACCAGGGTCCATAGCCCAGCATTCCAGGGGCTGTTGGAGAGGCCCTCCATGGCTCTCCCCCCATCCCAGCTCCCTGCTGGTCCTGGCACGGGCCCTGCCTCCCCCGTGTCCCCAGAGCCCTGTTGGGACACTGGGCAGGGACCTGGCTCATAACATGAGCTCGAAGTTGCTGCTCCAGACAGTGTCAGTTTTAAGGCTCAGCATTCTCAAGACCTGCAGGCTCTTTAGGGATGTGCTTAGTTCCTGAGTCACAGGAATTCTTCTGTCTTTCCTGACAAAGGATAGATGGAAGAAAAAGCCTACAAAGGATCTTGCTGATTACAACTGTTATGTGTAGTAGATGTAATTCGCGCCATTTCCAATATGATGTATGTGATATTTGTTAAAGTATACATGTTTGTATTAGGATTCCCCCCCCACCCTCGCAGGAGAGACCAGGTGTATTTTAGAAACTGATTTACAAGTAAGAAGGAGTGGCTCGCCAGGAGATGGGCCATGTCTGGGGAAATACAGAAACACCAGGTGCTGATCGTTCTCGTGAATGACCCGAGATGGATATCATGGAAATACTTGGGCAGATACATGTGAATCAACAAACTCCAGACACTGAATTGTTCTTCCTCATCACCAAAAAGAAAATCTTATTAACACATAGACTCTGAATAGAAGAAAAGACTGATTGCTGAAATCTTGGCCTCAGGCGGAATTTTCCGTGTAAAAATCCCTTGTGCCAGGATGGAGGTGTGTGGGCACGGAGGAAAACCTCTGATGAGGCTGACTCCTTGTTGCACACCCAGGGCCGACCCCGGGCTCGGCTCTGTTCTTTCCTTGTGGCTGGCTGGATAGAATTTGATTGCAAAATAAATATTTTATTTTTCATATTAATTTGGCTGGACAAATTTTCATTTATAACACAACTCTTCATGAAAAGTAAAGCTTTGCCTTTAGAACAGCCACATGAGGAGGAAGAATGGTGTTTCAGGGGCTTTTCAAATTTCTACAGAGAAATGCCAAGAGCAGCAGTGTTTAAGGCTCACAAAATAAATTAAGAATCCTGAGACAGACACAAGTGCATTTATTTCTCTGCTCTCTTTTGGCAATATATCACTAAGTCTTCCAGACAGAAGTAAAGTCTTGCTGCTTACATCAAAGATTCCTCTCTAGGAACAGACCTTCAAGAACTAAATGAGCCTGCTTGCAAAAACTTTGGCAGGTACTTTTTGCCCTCATCTTCGACAGCGCTCGTCTGTGACCTAGGGAGGAATTTTGTACCCGCGTTGACAGGAATTGGCTCCTGAGCAGGGCACAAATCCTGCGTGGAAGAGAAGAGCTGCACCTGCCTTCTGCAGGGCCTGTCTCTCCAGAGATGACGGCCCCAGGATGTCACTGCCAAGTTAAGGCTCAGAGACCGATGCAGCTTCAAGTCTCTGCTTCCACAAGAGCAGCTTTGGGCTCCTTGAGCTTCTACTAAATATTACTTAATTTTGAGAGATTCCTAAAGGGGCTGTGGGGTTTTTCTTGGTTTTGCCATGTTTCAGTGCAGTTTTCCTTTCCCACATTCCATTGTTTAAATGTAACGAAAACATAGCCTAAAATATTTCATACTTATTCACATTTATTCCATGTTGGTCGGTTTTGTGCAAATTTGGAGGAGGTTTTGAGGCTTTTTGGGGTCATTTTGTGTACCCTGGCAGCCAATCCCTGAGGCACGTTTCCCCGCTGTCACTCACTGAGGGCGGCTGGGCTGAGGCCGGAACTTCTCCCCGCCGCTCGCCTGCCTCGCTGCCAGGGGCCCCTTGTGACTCTGAGCTTTGCCCAGCTGCCCCAGGCTGGACTGGTTTATACTGGTTTGTTCTCCCCCTGCCCAGGGAGCGGAGCTCCAGCACCCCCCAGCCCCAGAGTGTCAAATTCCCGTGGCTACAGGGTCGTGTCCGCAAAGGAGACAGAGGAGTCCTGTAGCAGTCCCTTGACTGGAACAAAGGGAGAGAGTCCATCAGGGTCTCTCTCGATTAGCTAGAGCAAGTAGCCTTCTTTTCTCCTTTCCCGGCTGCATTTTCTCCTCAGTCCCTTTCCCCCTTGGCTGAGCTACTTGGGAGGTACTCGGCACTTCCCTATCCGCCTGTCCATGCTCCCCTTAGTATGTGCCCTCTGTAAGACACACAAGCCATGATCATTGCAATCAGCTGAATCCATTCATTTGTTTTAGAAAGCTTTACTAATTGACATGGACTTCTTCTCAGGGAAGAAGAATAAAGACTTAACAGGGTCTTGAATATTAACTTTGTGAGAAATTATGCTCACTTTTAAAATTGAAAAGGTTTATTAAACCTGAACAAAATTGCAACAAAAATCTGTGTAAAACGACTACATAATATTGGCTTTCACATTTATGTATTAGCTTTTGTACCTGCTCAGTGATTATAAGTATTTAGAAAAAGTCCCAATTGTAACTCTTTTCAGCTGCTTGTGAAGAGAATATAATCTATCAGCTTAAGTATGCACTGTACTGCTCATAGAAATAGTGTAATGAATATAATATCTGTGTATCAATTATGGAAAGAAGAGTGCGGTTCATTTATTGTACTATAGAAAAGGCTTTTGTGTAACTAAGAAGAGCAATGTAAGGCCATCCACTGACCAACCCGTCCAAGTGATAAGATAACTGTGACACTGTCGGAATCTGTGGGTATTGGTGATTCCGAGATTGTAGAAAGTCTCTGTCTTTCTGCCCCGTTGCCAAAGAAGAAGCCATAATTCGTCTGTGCTGGTTTCAAGGTTGTTTATTCTTGCTTATCTATAACATGTTCTGCTGCCCTGCCGCAGGTCTGTCCTGCAGGGCAGCGTGTGGGGCTCTGCCCCCAGTGGGATGTTACAAACATTATATACCAGAAACTACGTGTACTATATTTACAATCATGTACCAATATCTATCATCTACATTAAACAGCGTGTCCCCAGCCTAAACCAATGGAAAAATGCCAACACCACAGTGAAACATGGAGGGCATGAGGAAGGAGGAAAAGGACAAGACACACCCAATTCCTCCATCTTGTCCCCTCTGAACCCCTAATCTAGAAACCTAAAATTTTACTTTTGCACCCGTGTCACACTTAATTATTACTCTTATCAAACACTCAAAACTTGTAATTCATCCTGTAAGATTGAAAACTCCTCTCCATGGACAGAGATCACAGACAGTGTCTCTCGGGGCTCTGTACAGGGGGGTTCCTGACCCCTGCCAGGGTCCCAGACCTGCCAGGGCAGCCAGAGGGAAGCCCTGGATTCCCACAACAATCCTTATCTCCCTTGCTGCTGCTGGGTGTTTGTGCCCATGTGGAATGTGTTCTGGAGATTGTTTACCCAAGGTGATTGCTTGATTGGATTCTGGTGATGGTGTTTGGATTCAATT